GCTCCCAATCCAGGGCCGTAATTCCCCACGGGGACTGTGTGTGGATATTACAATCCAGGAAAAAACCCAGCACCAGGCTGAGAAACCTTCTGGGTGGTGACTGAGACCCTTCCCCAGCCACCAAACCTCCCCACTCACTTGTCCTTCCAGTGGTGATGGCCGTAGTGACCACAGATATCCTCGATCCCCGTCAGAAGGTGATCCAAGAACTGGAAGAGATGGTCCAAGGTGTGAGCAGCTCAGCAGGCTCCTGCCCACCCTCTCCCTCCCCTGGCACTGACACAGGGAGAGGCACTCAGGGCGTGTAAAATCAGGGCTGTGGGTCCAGGACAGGCTTTGGGAGAGCAGGATGGACCTACATGACCAGGCTGGGCTCTAAGGGCACGGGGGGTCCGGGCTGGAGCAGGCACTGGGTGACACAGACGGAGGAGAGCCCTGGCTCTGTCCCCCCTTACCTTGGGCACTGCTCTGGGGGCAGTCCCAGTGGTGGCAGTGGTGGCAGTGGTGRCAGTGGTGRCAGTGGTGRCAGTRGTGGAGTGGCAGAAGCAGAAGCAGAGGGCTAAGGCCGCAGCAGAGCGTTACCTGCGTGTGGATCTCCTCGTTGATGGAGCGCTTGGTCTCCTGCTTCTTCTTCACAGCCAGCAGATCCACCAGGGGCCGGATGGTCATGCCCTGGGGGAGAGGAGGGGAGGGGAGGGATGGGCTCAGCACAGCCAAACCACTGTCGGGGTCACCAGGCTGCCTCTTGGGGACGTGGGACAGTGACAGTGGGACAGTGACAGGATCAGGGTGGAGGCTGGGGATGTGCTCCCCACTCCCCACACGGCCAGGAAGAACCTCCTTTCCCTCTGAAAGCACAAGCTGAGCACACCCACCTGCACAAAGACGGTGAAGAAGATGACAGTGATGATGGCAGTGAGGAACATGTCCCTCATGCCAAAGTGTTTGTAGTCCAGGAGGTAGCCCAGGGAGAAGGCGATGGCTCCCCGCAGGCCCCCGTAGGCGATGATGAACTGGTCCTTTGGTGTCAGCTTCACGATTCGGAACTTGTTGATGAACCAGGTGAGGACCAGGACACCTGGGGGAGCAGCACAGTCTGGGGTGAGGTGGTGAAGGATCCCCTCCAATCCCCAAGAGCCCACTCGGGGCCATCTGCTCACCCCAACACCCCTGACCAGCTCCCACTCCTCGTCTGGCACAGCCACGGCCTCAGCCCCATCTCCCCACAGCACCAAACACAGCACAGGTGATGCCATGGCAGAGCAAGGCCACCCTGTCACCTCCAGCCTCACAGCAAGGCCATCATGGTCCAGAGAGGTGACCACGACCCAGATGGCCACTCAAGGCCAGGGTGGACAGAGCTGGGAGCAACCTGGCCCGGTGGAAAGTGTCCCTGCCCATGGCAGTTGGAATGAGATGAGCTTTAAGGTGTCTTCCAACCCAAACCATCCCATGAATCTTCCACCACCCTGAGCACTCACCCAGCACTCTGGCAACGAGGCAGAAGATCAGCGTGCTGATGACAAAGGTCCAGTTCCAGTAGTGGTGACCAGCCACGGTGGAGACCCCCAGGAAGATGAAGATGAGGGTCTCGCTCACACTGCTCCACATCTTGAGGAAATACTTGATGGTGGTGTGGGACTTGTGGGAGATGTTGGCCTCCACATAGGGCCGCATGACCACGCCAGAGGCGATGAGCCTGGGGGCGAGATGGGGGCACTCAGCGGCCGTGGGGACATGGGGACAGCCCCAAGCCCAGCCCTGCAGCAGCACTCTGTGCTCTGACACCAAGCCCCGGGGCAGGACAGGCACTGTGAACCACCAGCAGATACTCAAAGCCTCCAGAGAAGGCAACACGAGGTTTCTCGTGCCCCTGGCAGGGCAGGGGTGAGCACTGGAGCACAAATCCATACTGTCCTGAGTGCCCAACAGGCCCTGCCTGCTCCTGAGTGCCCAACAGGCCCTGCCTGCTCCTGAGTGCCCAGCAGAACTGCCCCAGTGCCAACTCACGCCATGATGCCCGACAGGTGGAAGAGCTCAGCAGACAGGTAGGCCATGTAGCTGTAGAGGAACACGAAGAGGGGCTCGATGACGCGGATGTGGGAGGTGAAGCGGGACGTGAAGGCGGCGATCACCCCGTAAATGACGCCCACCAAGACCCCGCCCAGAGACACCACGAAGAAGCTGAGGAAGCCGAGGATGATGTCGAGGATGGTGACCTGCTCAAAGCTGGCAAACTCCTCAAAGAGGTGGTAGAGAACCTGGCAGGAGAAAGGAGAGCGGGTTCAGACTGTGCCCCTGGCAGGACACAGCCTGGGCTGGGAGCAGACCTGCACAGGGACATCCTCGGGAGATAGGCAGGGCCCAGCGTGGCACTGAGCTGAGCTCTGATGGGGCTTGGTGACCTGAGCTGGGTCCTGTGCTCACACCAAAACCAGCTGCTGCTGCTCTGCTGTGCCACACACAACCCAGAGGGACAAGCACCCTGTCYGCTGTGCCCACAGGGACACGGTGCCACCAAGATGTGTCTGGGACAGCTGTGCTCTCCAGCTGTGCCAGGAGGAGCTCTGGTCACCAGCCAGAGGCTGCTCCTGTTTCCCTGAGCAGCTCATGACAGATCCAGGCTGGGCTGGATCCCCAACAGATCCCCATTGCCCGGGCTGATCAAACTCCATTCCCCGGGCCAATCAAACCCCATTCCCCAGGCTGATCAAACCCCATTCCCCAGGCCAATCAAACCCCATTCCCCGGGCTGATCAAACCCCATTCCCCGGGCTGATCAAACCCCATTGCCCAGGCTGATCAAACCCCACTCCCCAGGCTGATCAAACCCCATTCCCYGGGCTGATCAAACCCCATTGCCCAGGCTGATCAAACCCCATTGCCCAGGCTGATCAAACCCCACTCCCCAGGCTGATCAAACCCCATTCCCTGGGCTGATCAAACCCCATTCCCTGTGCTGATCAAACCCCATTGCCCGGGCTGATCAAACCCCATTGCCCGGGCTGATCAAACCCCACTCCCCAGGCTGATCAAACCCCATTCCCTGTGCTGATCAGACCCCATTCCCCAGGCCGATCAAACCCCATTCCCCAGGCCAATCAAACCCCATTCCCTGTGCTGATCAAACCCCATTCCCTGGGCTGATCAAACCCCACTCCCCAGGCCGATCAAACCCCATTCCCCAGGCCAAGCCACTCACAACAGTGACAGCATCATTGAGCAGGGACTCCCCGAAGACCAGGATGTGCAGCAGCTCGTTGATGTGGATCTCCTCGAACACGGCCAGCACGGCCACGGGGTCCACGGCCGAGATGATGCTGCCGAAGAGCAGGTTGGCCAGGAGGCCGATGTGGTTGAGGCCGGAGCCGCCCAGCTGGCACACGGCGTACAGGAGCCCCCCCAGGAAAAAGGCGTTCCAGAGCGTGCCCACCACGGCGAAGATGAGGATGGTGCCCAGGTTCTCGGTGAACTGGCGCAAGGGCAGGAAGTAGCCGGCRTCCAGGATGATGGGGGGCAGCAGGAACAGGAAGAAGATGTCTGACTTGAGGATGGGGGGTTTTTCACCCACTCCTTTGATGAGGCCCCCGACTAGAAGGCCCACCACGATGAGCAGGCAGCTCTCGGGAACGATGCTGGACACTGATGGGATCACRTGGAAGCCTGGAGAGAAGGAGGAGAGAGGAAAGCACACGTTGGCTACAGGAATGGAGGATGCTGCGTGCAGGGGGACAGCCCTGCCAGAGTTGGGACCAGTTCCCAGCCCTCCCTGCACTCCTTGTAATCCATCACTCCTTGTAATCCATCACTCCTTGTAATCCATCACTCCTTGTGTGCCTCAGTTTCCCCTCCTGCCCCACCCTGTCAAGTGGAAAGTGCAGCTTAATCAGACCCTGCTGACCTCAGGCCAGAACTGGAGTCCCAGTTCAGCAGGTGACAGCCACCCTTGGGACACTGTGGGTGTCCCCACAGACCCCCAGCCCTGTGACAGCCCCACAGCACAGGCAGCTCTCCCCACAGGAGCTGTCCCTGGCTCCAGCTCATCCCATGGCAGCGCTGATCCCCAGCACATGCGGGCAGTGGCATTTCCTCCCATCAGACAGCCATGGCCAGGGCCATCACTGCTGCTGTGCCAGGCTCAGTGCCCATCCCGGGACAGCCCTGATGCAGGGGACAGCGAGGGGAGCTGCTGCTGCTTGCAGGGTTTCAGGATGCACATCCCTTCCTGGAGGKTTTACATGGCTGCAGCAGGGACAGGATTCATCCTTGGGGTACAAGGGAACAGGGAACAYGTTTTCCCCTTTTTCAATCACAACTCCAAATGCAGCTCTCTGAGGCAGCCATGACCTGCTGGGATGACATTCCCACCAAACACCCCGAGCCGGGCATCTGCYGGCTCACCAACACCCACAGAAGGATTCTGGGTTCCCTGGATCTTCTCCCAGCCTTTATAATTATTATTCTGAAGTGAGACATATTTGTTCCCTGGCAAGGGAAGCAGTTTCAAACAAGGCCCCCTGCCTTGGCATCCCGTGTTCCTCCGTTCCTTCCGGCCGTGCCATCTGCAGCAATTCCACAGCAGATTCAACCCCCAGAGAGAGTCAGGATCCCCCCGAGCCTGCAGGGGCCACAACTGTGCCACGGGGCCAGATAATCCCACTGCACCCACACAGCTCCCACGGGAAAAGGACACACTGCCAAAATCCCTCCCCAGGGACCGGAGCCACTGGCCCGGCCCATGCAGGTCCAGGGGCAGGATTAGCCCCCAGATTGGCACCTCAGCTATGGGCACAGCCCTGTGCAGGTCCCTGGGGCAGGATCAGCCCCCAGATTGTCACCTCAGCCCTGTGCAGGTCCCTGGGGCAGGATTAGCCCCTGGGGCAGGATTAGCCCCCAGATTGCCACCTCAGCTGCGGGCACAGCCCCGTGCAGGTCCTTGGGGCAGGATTAGACCCTGGGGCAGGATTAGCCCCCAGATTGCCACCTCAGCTGTGGCCCCAGCCCGTGCAGGCCCCTGGGGCAGGATTAGCCCCCAGATTGTCACCTCAGCTGCAGGCACAGGCTCCAGCGTGGGTGAGCTCAGAGGATTCATCACAGCCGAGGCTCCACACACCATTCCTGCTGCTCCAAAGGGTCTCCAGTGCCTGAGTGATGCTGGAAGGACTCTGATTYCTCTGATCCCACCTCAGCTTTGCCACAGCAGCACCAACCCCAGAGCAAATGGCTCGATGGCTTTGGGMTCAGAGATAACAGGAGGCTGGAGCAGACAGGAACACCCAAACTCTCCCCCAACATCGTGTCCCCTGCACTCAGGGACTTCCCAGCCTGGATGCAGTTCCTGATTTACCCCCACAGGATTTTTCTTTTCCTGCATTCCCTGGAGACCACATAAGCTCTGTGCACCCTGAGCAGCCCCGRCAGGGGAGATGATAATCCCTTTTCCATGCACAGCTCATGCAAACATCGGGAAGCACCGACCTTTCCAGCACACCAGGCACTTTCTGGCTGSAATAAGGCTTAAAGCCACACAAGCAGCGAGAAGCCAACAGCAGATCAGTTTTTGCTTGCTACGTATGTTCAATCATGAATAAAACACAAACGCTGACAATTAAGCATCTCTCACTTCTTCCCCACAGGCCCCAGGATTCCATTAAACTGGAACATTTGTGTGCTGATGGGAATTCAGTAGTTTACAGCCTTTTTGTAGGTCCCTAAAAATACACTTACACGGGCTGCATTTTTAATTATGCCTTTGATTTCACCGAATCTCAGCCATTTTTTGCTCCCTGCTTGCTCTGCTCAGTAATTTTAGAGCATTCCAGAGCACATTGGTACCAATCCGTTGATGGGATCCTGCTGGGATCCTGCCCTGAATGCCGGGCCAGCATTCCCCTTTGGGATGGGGGTGACTAATGACTACTGGGAAGGAATGTTKTCGCTGTGGGATGGTGCCAGGCAGGGGTGAACGGGTTTGATCTCAGCTCTGGGCCTCAACTTCCCTTCTGGGAGATGAGCAAGGCTGTGGCAGGATGCTGGGAGATGAGGATGCCTGGCCACAGGCACATCCAGGGGCAGCAGAAAAGGGAATAAGCCTTGATAAAAACTGTAATAATAATAGTAGTAGTAGTAATAATAATAATAATAGTAGCAGGTTTAATAACACCAGGCTGCTGTTCCTGGCTGATTTGGTAAAAGGTTATTTGCTGCACCTACTGATGCCACGGACAGGGAGCAGTTCCCTCTCAACAGCAGCATTAAAAGCGAGACAGTTGAGTTAAACACAAACCCCTCAGAGAGCTTGAGCAAACACAGAACAGGAAATCCAGGAGTTAACAGYTCCCATTAAAACAGTTCCTTGCCCACATCACGCACCCAGCAAGGAACACACGGGGATCACTCTGCTCGGGGTCAGCATTACTTGGGCTGGGGCAGAAAGGAACTGGGGGCTGGAATCACAATTTGAACTGCACTTGAAGCACTTGAAGGTCTGGAGAGAATCCCATCCTTCCAATGATACAGATTTTGGGCAAGGAAAGGATGCTGATAAAGTTTGTTCTGCAGCCTTTGAGTATTTCTGGTCTTTATTTTGGGGTCAGCGGATGTGCATAGGGCAATTGAGGGCAACACCAGGAATTTCCCCTAAGAATGCAAATGTGGGGGCTCCCATTCTGGCTGCTAAAGGCTCACCCCCATTCCTCCAAGGGGGAGCTGGGCTGCTTTCCCCAAGGCTCCGGCTGCTGGCGGACGCAGTGCCATGTAAATATTTACTCCTGACCAAGCAGCCTGGGAGAGACTCTGCCCCTCTGTGGATTTTTCCTTCCTGGGCTGTACCTGGGCTTGTGAAAGCTGTGCCTGGGGTTATAAAGCTCCCTCCAGCAGCTCCTTGGCTGCCTAATGACTCAAACCCCACCATATCTGATCTGCTCCCATCCTCAGCCCGGGCAGGAGGAGCCTGAAGGGGTGTGGAGGAAAGGGAAGGCACCCAACCCAAAGCACCATTCCCACCCTGGGGATGTCAGGAGCAGCCAGATCCCCCAGCATCTGCTGAGGTGATGCTTCCCACTCTGAGGAGGAGGGATCTGCATGCCCTGAGCCCCACTGCCCCGGCCCTTTCAGCTCCACATGGCACAGGATCCAAGGCCAGGCTTAGTCAGAGCTCTGGCAGCGCTCCCCTGGTTTTAAAGACCTCCCTCAGAGCTGTGAGGAAAGAATGCTATAAAAACGTTTTAATCAAAMCTTTGATGAAGGAAAGGAAGCAGAGCCTTCAGGCACTTCCCTGATCCAGGCCAGGTCAGGGAGATTTCGACATCTCCCACCCTGGCTCCCACCTCAGGGACATTACTGGGGTCAGAGCTGTAAGAGGCTCTGCAGTTCCCATGGGCCTGAAAAATGCTGGTGTCCAGAGATGACAAATAAAGAATAAAACTAAAAAAAACCCCACATACATACACACATGTGCATATATATATATGTGCATGTATACACATGATGCTGGAGCCAGCCTGCACCAGGGGACACAGAATTTGGGTGGGATTAAYGTCCCCTCCTTTCACAGGAAGCTGGAAGGGCTCGGCACGTTCATGGTTAAGCCGGGTGCTCCTGTGGCTTCAGCCCGGATTCCTGAGAACCCACGCACAGGGACACGGCTTTGAGAAAGGCAGGATGCTCCCAGGACCATCCCTGGCAGGCAAGAGGAGCACGAGAAAGAAGCATAGTTACACAAAGCTGCCACCCTCCGGGCTGCCCGGGTTTATGGGAGCAGCYGCAGGCTCCAGCAGGCAGGGGAGCCCCTCAACTATTAACAGGGCCAGAGCTCTCCCAGCTCCCAGGGGATTGTTTTCTGGAGGAGGTGAGGTGTGAGGGGTTAGTGTGGGACAGGGCTGTGCTGGAGACCCTCGGGTGCTGTGCTGGAGACCCTCGGGTGATGCTCTCTGCAGCTCCATGTGCTGTGCTGGAGACCCTCGGGTGATGCTCTCTGCAGCCCGGGTGCTGTGCTGGAGACCCCGGGGTGCTGTGCTGGAGAGCCTCGGGTGATGCTCTCTGCAGCCCCGGGTGCTGTGCTGTGCTGGAGACCCTCGGGTGATGCTCTCTGCAGCCCCGGGTGCTGTTTGGCTGCTGGGTGGACTCAGTGGCCGTGGCTGGAGGAGCTGCAGAGCCCCGGGAGAAGGCACAGCGTGGGGAAGGAGGCGGCGAGGGGAGCAGGCATGCCCAGAAGGGCTGCCCTTCTGAAGGACACTGCAGACAGCAGGGCTGGAGCAGACACACGTGCCTGGCAGCTCCAGGGCCCCTCCAAAGGCCACTTTAACCCTTCAGGACGTGGGGCTGGCAGGGGGGCAGCAGCCCTGGGCCAGCAGCAATCCCAGTGAGGGATGCAGGGTGGTGTGACACGGGCACCATGGAGAGCCCTCACACACAGGGACTTTGCTGAGCCCCAAAATTACCAGGGTGCCACCAGCCCTGAGGATGAGGGATCCACAAAGCCATGAGTCAGCACCATCCCCTTCTTCCTCTGAGYTGAAGAAGCAGCAGGGAGGGAAGGGAAGGGCAGGAGGGCTCCAGGGTCCCCAGGGCTCGGAGCCCCTGGGCTCTGGCTTTCCCACTCTGTTTTGGGGAGGTGGAGGCTCAAGGATGGGGGGTAAGATGCCAGCAGGGTTAAAGCCCTG